GTCGATTGTTCACATGATGTAGTCCCTTTCCCACCTGAATCGGCTATTTCAGCCGATTCGCTTGAGCTTTCACACATATGGCATGTCTTTCGGAAAACCTGTCAATGTATAGATGGTTTTACGGATTCTTCGGTTTTGGTTTGTTATTATCATCATAGCTACCATCGATCCGATCGAACCTCACTGTTGATGGTAATAGATTAGATTCAGAGCGTTTGTAGATCCACTTGTACTAAATAGTCGATTTGTTCGCATGTTATATCCTTTCTCGTTAGATTCATTGGCTCAATGTTTTACACTGGTAATACCCACCTAGCTGATGATTTTTACTTAAATCTGCGTGTATTGTACTTCTCAACATAAAATAAATCATAATCCACGGGCTTTACAGTCCGTAACAGCCGATTTCTTCGTGTATCGGCTGTTTAGTCGATTTTTCTCGTCTGGCTGCTCCCGAAGAGGCACACTTGAAACTGTCTGGACAAAGACCGGCATGTTTCACCTTAAATTACTGATAAACTTTCTCTCCTTGTCAATTACAGATCAAATTGACTGACATGCCTCGGGAGGAATTCGTAGGATCGGCTAGCCCTGCGTTGAAGCCAAGTGGATCTCCAGCCTTGCTCTATCAAGCAGATCCTTCCGGCTTGCTGTGTGCCAGGTGCATCGACACGTTTTTGCGTCGACAGGCATTTTAGATTCCACAAGTCCTTCCACATCTTCTCATCTGACCTCCCACTACTAGTTTGCCCTTCAGTACTGCTCTGAGCTCACAGCAAATCTAATCGACAAATTTTGAAAGCATGTCGCACACTGAACCTGCCATTTGTGTCATAGTGCTAGGCAATAATATTTAGATGATCTTCATGCATGGGTAGAGCTAGTATAAGACTTGCATCCTCTTCCTAAAATAGAATGACCTGTACAAGATCCTAATCCCATCCACTCGTAAGGGGGTCGATACGCTCATCAACATGCATGACTAAGCTTCGTCCTCGATGTGTGATTGGCTTCCTGGACCATTTACACGAGAGCCAAGGATCTAACAAGATGTTGAGGTCTTTGCCGTCACCCACCCACCAAATCATCCCCTTCTAGACCAGCTGAATGCCTCGCAAGATACTTTGCCATGTGTACAGTATTCTGTTCTTGGGCTTGGCTTGCAAATAGGTCATTCCCTGATGGTACTTTGCCTCTAAGACTTTTGTATAGAGGGACTCAGGGTTCTGCATCAACCGCCAACCTTGTGCTAGATAACATTGCAAGGTTGAAAGCATGTATGTCGCGAAAACATAGCCCGCTGATCCTTCCTTCTTTGGTTTCATCATCGTCTCCCAACTCAGCCAATGCACCTTGTGTTGTCCTTCGTATTGATTCCACCAGTAACTACATACCATGGCACCTACTTGATCACAAAGGTCCTTTGTCAGATCAAAACATCCCATGGCAAATTGGGATCGCCTGCGTGACTGCCTTGATCAAAACCTCCTTCTCGACCCATGATAGGAATTTCTCCTTCTAGCCTTGGATTCTCTTCCATACACGATCATTTAAATATGCAAACACATCAGTTTTCAACCGCCCAACATGTATCGGTAGACCTAGGTACTTCTCATTTGCTGTCTCATGTGTAATATTTTAAATACCCTACACATCTTCTCTATCCATAGCCCTTGTATTGGTGATATACATGACCGCAGATTTAGCTCTGTTTATTATTTGACCAAAACATCTTTCATACAACTCTAGAATAGACTGCAGCTGCACAGCCTCCTCCCTATTTGCATGAACCAAGATCAAAGAGTTGTCGGCAAACAAAAGGTGAGAAATGTTGGGTGCCGCTTGATAGATCTTTATTCCAGAGATGCGGCCTTCTTCCTTGGCTTTATTGAACAGCGCTAAAAATCCCTCCGTGCACAACAAGAATAGATATGGGGATAAGGGGTTCCCTTGTCTGAGCCCTGATCTCTCTAGTGTAAAACTCCTAGACAATTCACCATTTACCTTCACCTTGAAAGACATCGAGGTAACACATTCCATTATGAGGTCAATCCACCTATCTGCGAATCACATCTTGCCCATAATTTTCCTTAAGAATGACCATTCCACTCTGTCTACATAGTTTTCTAGCACAACTTTTATACAGTAAATTTTACTAGTAACGTTACTTATACACATAAGTTTTTGTTGTTCAACCTGTTTCAACAAATTTATATACAACTTATCTAGCACATTATTTTGCATAATTTATTCCACACAAACTTCTCAACAAAAAAACAAAAATGGTTAATTATTATGAAAAAATGAAAAAATGAGTAAAGTAAAGAAAATAAAAACAAAAGGAGGGGGGAGAGAGAGCAAGAGGATCAAGGGGGCACACTAGTGAAAGGTCCTAATGGCTAGAGGAGGAGTGAATAAGCTATTAAAAATTCTACAACAACACTTAGTAAATCGGTTAGACAATTATAAGGCGAAGCAAGTGTTGCGCTAGTCTACTAAAATTGCAAGCCACCTACCACAATTCTAGTTTGTATAGTTTCTATCCACACAATGGCTATGTCACTACACTAAGTTAGTGTGCTCATAAAGGCTAACTAAAGAGCCACACTAACCAAACTAATAAGCTCTCACGACTAGCTACACTAAAGAGCTTGATAACTAGTTTGTGGTAATATAAAGAGAGTGAGCAAGATGGTTATAACGATGAGTCGAGAAATGAACCAATCAATCACAAGAATGAATACCAATGAAGACCAATCACCTCAGAATCAAATGATGACACAATGATTTTTTACGAGGTTCACTTGCTTACCGTCAAGCTAGTCCTCGTTGTGGCGATTCACTCACTTGGAGGTTCACGCGCTAATTGGCATCACATGCCAAACCCTCAATAGGGTGTCGCACAACCAACACAAGATGAGGATCACACAAGCTACGAGCAATTTACTAGAGTACTTTTTGGCTCTCTGCCGGGAAAGATCAAGAACCCCTCACAAATACCACGATCTGAGCCGGAGACAATCACGAACCTCCGCTCAGCGATCCTCACTGCTCCAAGTCATCTAGGTGGTGGCAACCACCAAGAGTAACAAGTGAATCCCGCAGCGAAACACGAACACCAAGTGACTCTAGATGCAAACACTCAAGCAATGCACTTGGATTCACTCCCAATCTCACAAAGATGATGAATCAATAATGGAGATGAGTGGGAGGGCTTTGGCTAAGCTCACAAGATTGTAATGTCAATGCAAATGACCAAGAGAGTGAGCATGAGTCGGCCATGGGGTTTAAATAGAAGCCCCCATGAAATAGAGCTGTTGGCTCCTTAGTACACTAAAAAGTTGGGGCGACCGGACGCAGGACCCCTGCGCCCGATCGCGCGATGCACACCACGTGGCCCCTGCTTCAAATGCTGATCGTCCAATCTCAATGGTCATCAGTATATTTATGTTGTGACCGGACACACTGCTCAAAGTGACCGGATGCAGGACCCCAGCGTCCGGTCGTTTCCAGTAAGGTTCCACTCGCGACCGGACTCACCCAGCGTCCGGTCACTCACCGTCTCCTCTGTGCACCGCCACATCAGCACGACCGGATACTGAATAGTGTTTAGCCAGAGTTCGGTCGCCTGCGTCCGGTCAAGAGATCGAGGGCAGCCTTCACTACGCACCACTAACCAGACGCAGGACTCCAGCGTCCGGTCACTGCGTGACCAGTGTTCGGTGCACTCTGTGAAACCCTGTCTTTTCTGTACAGGGCACCGGTGACACTTCGCCGGTGAAGTTTCGAACCCTTGCTCCCAAGTGCTAAACACAATGTGTATCACCTCTGTGCATGTGTGTTAGCATATTTTCACAAACATTTTCAAGGGTGTTAGCTTTCCACTAGATCCTAAATGCATATGCAATGAGTTAGAGCATCTAGTGGCACTTTGATAACCGCATTTTGATACGAGTTTCACCCCTATTAATAGTATGGCTATTGATCCTAAATGTGATCACACTCTCTAGTTGTCTCGATCACTAAATCAAAAAGCTCATAACAATTTCACCTTTGCCTTGAGCTTTTTATTTTTCTCTTACTTCTTTTCCAAGTCCAAGCACTTGATCATCACCATACCATCATCATCATCATGTCATGATCTTCATTTGCTTCACCACTTGGAGTAGTGCTATCTATCTCATAATCACTTTGATAAACTAGGTTATCACTTAGGGTTTCATCAATTCACCAAAATCAAACTAGAGCTTTCAACTAGGCCACACGTCCTTTCTTGGTAGCAGGGTCGGGTGACTCACGGAGGGTGTCAGAGTGTTCACTTTGAGGAATGATCATGATATTGGAATCAAAGCATCTCCACCAAATTGAAAAAAACAATAGCTAGGTGACTCTTGATGCTGCTATTGGAACAGACCAAAACAGCATCACCTATTGGAAGCTCATTAGTGACAAATTTCATCGCAACGTAAAGGTATCTACTAATAGATCAATTGGTTGACTTCAGCACCAATGGTCCATAATTCATGAAGTGTGCAACAAATGGGCGGGTTGTATTGTCCAAATTGAATGCCAGCAACCAAGTTGAGTGGCAATTTAGGAACAAGTGAGTCCTTACTACTTGCTCAAATTGATAGGTTAACTATGTTCAAATCTTTGCTGACTAATTGATCAAATTCATAGGTTAACTATGTCCAAAAGTTGTACAAGCAAAGCAACAAGGACAAGCATAAGCCAATCACACTCTTTGCACTGTTGGGCATTGCTCCAGCACAATGAGAAGTGGAATAGTATGAACCACGAAGCTCCTCCAGCTAAGAAGCAAAAATCAAGCAATTGATCCACTTCTATGTTTGACCTTGATCAGGAAGATGATGAAAATGGTAGAAGTCCCACTCCAAGCTTAGCAGCACCAACAAACATAAGGCCTCTAGGGAGAAAGCAAGAGACAAAGGATGTGGAAGGAGAAAGGTGGTGAGTACAAGGAGGCAATCTAGGAGATGATGGCAAAAAAGAAGGAAATGGAGTATGAAAAGAATGTAGAGAAGGTACAGATGCGGATAGAGCTGAAGGCCATCGAGGAGGAAAAGGTTGATCTTGAGAAGGAGAGGTTGTGGCTCATGGCTGATGTGGTGAGTACCACGAAGCATGAACACGAGCTTAAGATCATGTTCATGGACACAAGGTGCCTTGATGACACATAGAAGGCATATGTGCATGCAATGTGTGCTCAAATCTTAGCATCACTTGTTGGAGGATGTGGGAGCAGGAGTACGAGTAGGGGGTATGTGATGTTTGTGTTGTTGAATTGTGCATGCTCTATGACATTGAATTGTGCATGTCTATGTCGTTGAATTATGTATGCTCCATGTAGTTGAATTATGCTCAAACCTAAACTTTATTTGAATTTTAGTTAGATTCTAAATTACGGATTTGAAAATGTCATTGAATTATGTATGTGGTAGAATCATATAAAATTTTGGATTTTTTGGTATCGAAATAATGTTTAGAATATAGGACATATGCAAAAGAGAGTAGAAATGGGGAAAAGGTAATATAGGGGATGCATTTTTCTCAATCTGTTGGAGCATCTATCCCCTTTTTACCAGAAATCATGTTTTCTCAATCCCTAACCAGTTATAGGGGATTGTTTTTTCTCAATCTAGAGGAGAGGCTCTTACAATCTACATGACCATTGATACCCAACATTTGTTCATAACTATTAGCGGACAAACTTGTCATAACAATTTTTCTGTATAATTTTTCTAGGACAACTTTCATATGAGACTCAGTTAGAAGGTTCGTCGTAATTAAATCCCGGGACCGCTAATTTAGAATTAGGTTTATTAGTATACATATGAAATTCTAAAGGAAAAGGTTAATTCTACCTCCCTGAACTATTTGTCATAGTTTGATCTTTCTCCTCGAACTCTAAAACTAGACCTCTTACCCCCTGAATTCTTAAAACCGTTCAAATTACCTCTTAGCTTTGGTTTGGAGCGATTTTGTAAGTGATTTTCTTTTTTAGTTAAAAAATTGGTAAATATTTGATTCTATATGCTTTTAAAAATTCCAAAAAATGCTAGAAATGGATTTAGATATGCCAAATCCAAATAAAATATTTAGAACTTATAAAAATATCTCTAAACATTTCAAAAAATGTATTTATCTCTAGAAAAATGAAAAAATATCCAGAAAAATATGGAAAATTTCTAAAACATTCTAATCGATGTATAAATGTGCTTAAAACTGTAGTAATAAAAACATAATAATCAACCAACACAAATGTATAGCATGAATGCATTCAACATTAATGCATGTTGCATTCATGCTAGTTGTATCTCATATATTTGCTGTGCAAAATTTTTAATTAGAATGTTTAGAATTTTATAGATTTTTCTATTTTTCTAGAGCTAAATCTTTTTTGAAGCGTCTAGAGAAAATTTCATGAGCTCTAAATATTTTATTTGGAATTAGCGTATCCAAATCCATCTCGATTTTTTTCGAATTTTAAAAATTGTATAGACATCTTTTGTGATTTTAAAACTTTACCAAGTATTTATCGATCTTTTAACTAAAAAAACAAAATCACCTCTAAAACCACTCCAAAGCAGGCCAGAAAGATAATCTGAACCGCTGAGTTTAGGGATAAGATATCTGGTTCTAGAGTTTGAGGAAAATACGACAATAGTAAAACGTTCTAGCGTCTTGTTTGTTCTCTATTGGGCCCAAAAACTATTTCTTCGTGAATGGCCTAGGATCCATCACAAAAGCACAGGCCTCACATTTCTCCAGCCGCATCGCCGTCGCCGGCCGGCAGCCGCTGCAACCTTCTTTCTACGATGCCTAGGAAGCCCAAGCGGAAGGCTCCGGCCTCACCGGCGAGGCACGACACTTCGCCGGAGCCCTACCCTTCCCACGCCTCCCCCTCCTCGGCACAATGCCTGGCAGTCCGCGACGCCCTCCTCGCGTTCCACGGGTTCCCCGAGGAGTTCGCGCCCTTCCGCCTCCTCCGCCTCGGTGGCCGCTCGCCTAACCGTGACCCTCGGCCTCAGCCTTTGCCTCCCACAGTGCTTGACGGCCTCATCATCACCCTCCTCTCTCAGAACACTACCGATGCCATCTCGCGCCGCGCCTTCGCCTCCCTCAAGGCCGCTTTCCCCTCCTGGGACCAGGTGAGCTATTAGCATGGAGTCAATGCCTGCGCACCAGTGCCTTCCAGAAGCTTCTACAAACTCCCGGGGTCTAAACTCACTCACTTCCTTCTATTCCTATTTGTTTCGTTCTGGAGGTGGTGGATGAGGAGGGGAAGAGGCTGGAGGACGCCATCCGGTGCGGCGGCCTGGCGGCGACGAAGGCGGCCAGGATACGGGCCATGCTGAGGGACGTGAGGGAGCGGAGGGGCAAGATTTGCCTCGAGTACCTGCGGGAGCTGTCGGTGGATGAGGTGAAGAAGGAGCTCTCGCGGTTCAAAGGGATTGGACCAAAGACCGTGAGTTCGATCTCCTCCTTGTCCTCTTTCAGCGATGAAGTGATTTTCTGTTCAGGTTGTTGGAGTTCTGCAACTGTCGATGCATGGCATGGATGGACCATGGTGAAGTAAAGGCATTGCTTTTGATTTGTTGTCAAAAAAGGAGGGCTGGTGGGAGGTTGTTCAGCCTTGAACTTTGAATGAACGACAGTTTGATGAGAGGCACCATATGGCGATTTAGGCCTTGTTTAGATTGCAAGTTTTTTCACTCTTTCTCCATCACATCAAATCTTTGGACACATGCATAGAGTATTAAATGTAGATAAAAAAAATACTAATTACACAGTTTGATTGTAAATTACGAGACGAATCTTTTGAGTCTAGTTAGGCCATGATTGGACAATAATTGTCAAATACAAACGAAAGTGCTATAGTGCCAAATACCGATTCCTAACCCCAATCTAAACAAGGCCTTAAGGGCAAGGCGGGATTTTTGTTGAGCTTTTCTCTGTGCATTTACCTTAACTAGACTTTTTGTTTGTGAGGACTGCAAATGTGCATAGGAGTTCTGATGCCATGTTTAACAAGTTCCCATTTTTTGATATTTGATTGAAATGTGTGCAAATGTGCTTAAAGGAAGAAGTGTCTTTCATAAAAAAGAACAAGCCATGCTCCTTGATGGGAAGCGGTTTATGTTTAGACTGGTTTCACTCAAATATTGATGTGGCTGGTGGTGGTCACCGACAACCAATTTCGTCTTGCAAAAGCTTGTTGCTGAGTGTGTAGCTTGTCCTAGGTCCTTAAGTTGGAGTACATTTTTTTGGGAACTGTTTGTTCTTAACTAACGTTAACTACAACAACTGCTGGAGTTGTCAGTGTCATCCTTTGGAGGTATTGCTCCATCAGTCCATTGTTTTAATTTGCATGATAATTGTTAGCTGGTGAGTCATGCGAGGCATGTGATAGTGATGAAAGGGAAAGGGAAATGCAGGATGTTCCCGTTAGGCAGCTTTTCTTTTCATCTTCTTTTTGAGTGTATGCAGCTTGCGTTTCATGTTTCCAGTGAAAGCTCCAAATATGCATTGGGGTACCACCTCTTCTTGTTATTGAAATGTTTGCTGGCAAAAAATAGTAAATATCTTGTTTCAAGATAAGGGACAGTAATCTTATGCCTTGATGGAAACAAACCATGTTTTTATTGGTTGAGCACCTATTTGTCGGCCTGGTGGTTGCCACCAACAATCAATTTTGTCTTGCAATGAATGGCTACCAAAACAGGTGAGCGAGAGTTATTCGCTAGTGACGTATAACTTAATCTAGGTTTCTTTTTGAGATACGATGTTATTTCAATTTTTTTGTTCTTAATTATTTTAGTTACAACAGTGAACAGTCACTGGAGGTTGTCAGTGTATTAGAGTTAGTGGCTGATATTGAGGGAACTTGATATCCTTATTCAAAGCAATGAAATGGTCTGTTCACAAACATGTATCACAAACAGAGCTGCAATGTAAGAAATTGATCACTTGAAGATCAAAAGATGTAAAAATTTCTGTAACTCAGTGCCAAAGGCACCATTCAATCAATACAAAAATTCAGGTGGGGATCCTCCCCCCCACCCAGTAACCATAAAAAAAAAATCTGCTTAGGTTGTTTAATTAGTCGTTTAATGCTTCGTTTTAGTTGGATGACTTGCTGTCGTTGTAGGCTGCTGGAGTAAGCAAGCGCATATTGATGCCTTATTTAATATATGAATCTTACAACAGGTGGCATGTGTGCTGATGTTCTATCTACAGAAGGATGATTTTCCAGTGGATACTCATGTACGCAAATATTCATTTGTCGTTGTCACATAGAATCTAGACACTAGTTTGATGTGCATCATGTATTTTTAACTGTTAGAGTATTTATTTCCTCTAGCTTTTACTTTGTATCGGCTGTCTCCTGGGGTTCTCCCCAGTGCACTGCCTAGGTACTCCTAGCTTGATTGCCTAGGACTTCTCCCCTCTTAACTCTCTAGTATTAACTCTCTAGCTTAGCCTCTCTCTATATATGTAACCCTCTTGTAATCTCATCATCAAGTAATCTAAGCCTCTTGGCCTTTCTCTATCACGGTATCAGACTAAAACCGATCCCTTTGCTTCCGCTCCTCTCGGCGCCCGCCTCGAGCCGCGCCCGCCCCCTCACCTTCCCGCCCGCGCGCCCAGTGCCGCCGTCTTCCGCGGTCCTTCTCGGCTGCCCGCGTGCCTGGTGCTGCCCTCATCGTCGCGCCTAGTGCCCCAGCCGCGCGCCCATGGCTACTTCGACCTCCGGCGCCTCCACCGCGGCTACCGCGATCAAGCTTCGTGATGAAGCTCTCGCCGCCCTTCGAAGCCGGAGGAGGAGGCGCCTCATCGCACTCCACCAACACCGATCGCAGCCAGCGGCTTCAGACGGAGACCTCCTCAAGTTTCTTTCTCTGCCGCCGCAGAGATCGCGTTCGTGCACCGCTGCCGGCGCCCTCGAGAAAGAGCGCGCGCAGCCGACGGCTCGAATAGCAAGCGGCGCAGACTCGGGACCGTCTCCGCCGGACTCCCTCCACGACGACGACTCTCGGGGCGGTGGCGATCACTCTTTCTCCTCCGACGCCGCAACCATCGTTTCATCTCAGACGGCCGGTGCTGCCGCTGTCCGAACATCAAGAATTTGATTCCGATTGTTCGGACCTCCGATCCTCCAATTACTCCAAGTGGCGCGGCTACGTCCTCCTCATCCTCGCCGCTTGGCGGCTGAAGGATCACGCCTCCTCGTGATTACTCCCGAGTCACCGACCCCAAGATGGTCCCGCATGGATCGCGCGTGGTCGTCTCTGGATCTTCAACACCATCTCCACCGACCTTCGGGCGTCATTCACACAGCGTGTGGCGTCGCTTCGCCGGCTGCGTGGCTCGATATCGAACAACAGTTCCTCAACAATCGCGAGTCACGCGCCATGCACCTTGATCTTTGAGTTCCGCACCTCTCCCAAGGTGCTCTCTCCATCGACGCTATTATTGTCGCAAGATGAAGGGCATGGCTGATGCCCTTGCTGATCTGGGTGAGCCAGTCCATGACCGTACTCTGGTGCTCAACATCCTGCGCGGCCTCAATGAACGTTTCCAGTTCATGTCGCAGTTCATCACGCGCCAGAAGCTGTTTCCTTCCTTTGCGGACGTCCGTGCCGACCTGCGCCTGGCCGAGCTCAACATGGCACCTCCTTCAGCGCCTCCATCGGCCCTCGTCGCCTCTTCGTTCAGCAAGCCACCTGCCTCCCCGCCGGCCTCTGGGTCTGCAAACCCGCGCCCTCAACAGCACGCCGAGGGGCGGGGGGGGGAGGCTCGTCTGGCAATGGCAGTGGCCGTGGCCGGCGTTGCCGTGGCGGCCGTGGCCAAGGAGGCTCGACCAGCGGCTTCCAGGCGGTTCCAATGGCCCCTCCTCAATCCGTGGGATGTGGTCCATCCACATGTGGCCGGGTCAACTCCCGTGGCTCTCGTGGTCCACCTCCCGCCACAGCCCATCTCAGACGCCATCGCTTTGCAGAAGCATGCTTTGGTGGCGGCGTGCCTCAACCTTCTACTACCCGCCGACTCGGGGGCGTACCACCAGCGCCCACCCAGCACCCCTCCCGCTCGGACGCCCAAGACCACCACGACGCCCCAGTTTGGTCACCATGGGACCAACAGTCCCTCGCCAACACCTTCAGCACCGTCACCCTCACCCCGCCTCCGAACTCCTCGGACTGGGTGATCGACTCGAGTGCCTCGTCTCACATTGCCTCCAACCTTGGTATGGTTACCGCTTTCTCCATCCTCCTCTTTTCCTTCCTCCATTGTTGTGGGAAATGGTGCTACTCTCCGGTTGTTGGCACCGGATATTCCACCCTTCCGGCCCTTTCCGTCTCAACAATGTCCTTCTAGCTCCGACATCATTAAAAATCTCGCTTTCCGTTCGTCAATTCACCACCGACAATTTTGTTTCGTGGAATTTGACCCTCTTGGTGTCTCTGTGAAGGATCTCCGTGCAGAACATCCTCCTTCGATGTAACACTCGTGGGCGCTCTACACCTTGCGGCCCCGTCGTCACCCTCGATACTTGTGCTCTTGTGGCCACTCCTCCAACTACACAGCATCATCGTCTCGGCCACCCGGCAAGGCTGCCCTTCAACGCCTCTCGCTCGGTCATCTTCCATTTTTTCGCAGCAAGTCCACGAAGACTCCATCGCCATGCTTGTCGACTTGGGCGCCATGTTCGCTTGCCTTTTTGCTAGTTCCTTGTCTAGAGCACCCAAACCTTTTGATTTGCTACATTGTGACACGTGGACTTCCATTATCGGTGTATCCGGTTTTAAATACTATCTCGTTATTCTCGATGATTGCTCTCATTTTCTTTGGACTTTTCCTCTCGATTAAAGTCCGAGACGTTTCCTGTCCTCTCCAATTTCTTTGCCTATGTGCACACTCAATTTGGTTGTACCATCAAATCCGTGCAATGTGACAACGGTCGTGAGTTTGACAACTCCACGTCTCGCGCTTTCTTTCTTGCCAAAAGTGTTTCCCTTCGCATGTCATGCCCCTACACCGCGACAGAAATGGCAAAGCCGAACGCATGCTTCGCACCACCAACAATGTCACCGTGCCACCTGCTCTTCCAAGCATCCATGCCCCCTCGCCATCGGGCCGATGCTCTTACTCACGCCACTCACCTCATAAATCGCCTCCCCACCAAAACGCTGAACATGAGCACTCCCTTCTTCGCCCTTTATGGCACTCACCCTTCTTATCATGATCTCCGGGCTTTCGGATGCACTTGCTACCCTAATCTCACCGCTACTACTCCTCACAAACTTGCCCCGCGCTCTTCCTTATGTGTTTTCATCGGCTACTCTCCCGACCACAAAGGTTACAGGTGCTTCGACCTCACCACAAACCGTGTCATCATCTCTCGCCACGTTGTTTTCGACGAAACAACGTTTCCCTTCTCACTTCGCCGACCCTCACCGCCCACACACGAACTGGATTTTCTCACTGATGACGATCCACCATTAGTCCCTTTTCCACCTGCAGGAACCCCTCGCGTTGCTGCCATCCCGCCAGCACCTGCATCTCTGCGGGCTCCCTCCCAGCCGGCATCTTCAGGTACCCCAGCGCCCGGATCAGGCATACCAGCGCCGCGGTCTCCTCCACCCGGCTTTACCGCGCCCCTGGTATCCCCTACACCAGCGTTCGCTGTCCAGGCGCCCACGGTGCCTCCTGTACCGGTGCCCACGGCGCCTCCTCTACAGGCGCCCCCGGTTCCTTCCTTCAACAAGCCGCCCGTCGTCCATGTCTACACACGGCGTGCCCCCGCACCCAGCTTGCCACCGCGTTCCCCCAATGGGGCTCCTCCTCGACGCTTTGGCATGATTCCTTCTCCACCACGTTACGTCAAGACTGGTTCTTCACTGCCAGCAGGGGCGGTCTCCATCCCGCCACTTGCCAACTCTCATGGCATGGCGACTCGTGGAAGTCCAGATACAAGCAGCCTCGTCTTGCTCTACACACCGAGGCTCTGTCCCCACTTCCGCGGTCCTGCCGTGACGCTCTTGCTAATCCAAGACCTTTGGCGTAAGGCCATGGAAGAAGAATTATTTGCACTCTTGGACAACCACACTTGGGATCTTGTTCTCGCACCGCCAAGGCAAATGTGGTCTTTGGAAAATGGATATTCAAACACAAGTTTCATCTTGATGGCTCTTCGGATGATACAAGGCTCGTTGGGTGCTCCGTGGGTTCACACAGAGGCCCGGAGTTGATTACGATGAGACTTTCAGTCCCGTCGTCAAACCCGCTACCGTTCGCACCGTCCTCACTCTGGCTCACTCGGATCGGGCGATCCATCGCCTTGATGTGAAGAATGCCTTCCTTCACGGGACATTGTCGAAACGGTATATCGCTCTCTCGGCCCACCGTTTTTCTTGATCCGGATCTTCTGAACACGTCTCAGTAGGCTCAACAAGTCCCTCTACGGTTTGAAGCGAGCAATCATGAGCATGGTACACCGGTTTGCTTCTTATCGCTATCTCGGGTTTCTTTGAAGCCAAGTCCGACACCTCCTCTTCATTCATCACCGCTGCACCGAGACAGTCTACTTGCTCCTATATGTGGATGACATTGTTGTTACAGCCTCCTCTCAGCCACTCTTACACCAGGTCATTGATGCACTGAAGAAGGAATTTGCCATGAAGGATCTTGGTCCTCTTCATCATTTCCTTGGCGTAGCTGTTCAGCGACAGAAGGACACTATATTTCTCTCCCAGCGTCAGTACACTCTAGACATTCTTGCCCGCCACGGCATGACCGACTGCAAGCCTTGTTCCACTCCTGTTGACACTTGTGCCAAAGTATCTGCCGATGCCGGCCCCTCTCATTGTCGATCCTACCGCCTATCGCAGCCTTGTGGGTGCTCTTGAGACTCTAACTTTCACTCGGCCCGACATCGCACACGCCGTTCAACAAGTCTGCTTGCACATGCATGATCCCCGGGAAGTTCATCTTGTTGCTGCCAAGCGGATTCTTCGCTACCTTCAGGGCACTATCAGTTTTGGTCTTGTCATTCCCCACTCTGCACCAACTCAGCTCATTGTCTACACCGATGCTGACTGGGCCGGCTGCCCTGACACCCGCCGTTCCACTTCTAGCTATGCTGTCTTCCTCGGTGGCAGCCTCATCTCCTGGTCGTCCAAGCGCCAGCCCACCGTTTCACGGTCGAGCGCCGAGGCCGAATACCGTGCAGTTGCCAACGGCGTCGCCGAAGCCTCCTGGCTGCGGCAACTACTGTAGGAGCTGCACCACCCTCGGATTACGCGCCGCCTCGTCTCTCTGCGCAACAGCGTCGTGCCGTCTACTTCTCCACCAACCCCGTTCAAAGATCATCGGCATTACCAAGCACGTGGAAATCGACCTTCACTTCGTCCGGGAACGGGTCGCTCTTGGGGCTGTCCGTGTGCTTCACGTTCCCACCACGTCGCAGTTCGCCGATGTCTTCACCAAGGGCCTTGCTTCTTCTGTATTTATGGACTTTCGCTCCAGTCTGAACGTTCGTTCTAACGACGTTCCGACTGCGGGGGGGTGTTAGAGTATTTATTTCCTCTAGCTTTTACTTTGTATCGACTGTCTCCTGGGGTTCTCCCCAGTGCACTGCCTAGGTACTCCCAGCTTGATTTCCTGGGACTTCTCCCCTCTTAACTCTCTAGTATTAACTCTCTAGCTTAGCCTCTCTATATATGTAACCCTCTTGTAATCTCATCATCAAGTAATCTAAGCCTCTTGGCCTTTCTCTATCATTAACAACAAATAATTTTTTTGGGCAAATAGGTACTCCGCGTTACAAAGGCTATGGGTTGGGTTCCTGCAACAGCTAGCAGGGAGAAGGCCTACATTCATCTAAATAATAAGATTCCTGATGATCTGAAGTTTGATTTGAATTGTCTTTTTGTAACTCATGGGAAGCTTTGTCAGTCATGTACCAAAAAGGTGGTAAGTGATAAAAGCAAGAGTTCAAATGCTGCCTGTCCTCTAGCAGGCTACTGTTGTATTGGAGAAAAGCTTCAGCAACGGTGAAGGTTTGTGACTAACAAGCTTGCGCCACTGATGAAACATTTTGAAAACTTTATATCTCAAGTCAAATATTGACGGTGTTATTGTCAGCTGATTTTCATGGTCCATTCACTTGTATACTCTGCTCAATGAGTTTGCTTTTCTTACAAAACTGAACACGTCCTGGTTGTTCAACATCAATATTTTGTAAGTGTAACATTTCTAATGCACTACTGAACTTATGGAGGTAGACAAATATAGGCATGAGCTTTGGTATGGAATAGGTTAACTCAAGCTTTTTGAAAGGGATAACTCAATACTATCTTATTGTTCAGTAATGGTAGTGCCAAATTATGCATTCTAAAAGGATTTGATGAAAAAGGAACAGAGCTTTTTACAATTTGGATTTTTATCTGTTGCCTAATACTTTATTTGATGAGCTTTTCTTAGTCAGTTGACTTATCAGTGTTTGGGAAGTATGGTCTATTTTTTTTCTTCTATTGTAGACATTGTAGAAGGAAAATTATATATCCTTTGCTATAGCTGTTTGCTTTGCTGAAATTTGCTATTCGTGGCAAATGCACCCATGACAATTTGAAAGTTCATACCTAATTGTTGTGACTATGTAGCGAACCAGTCCTGACATGTTCTGTTGCTGTTTAGGCACCATTAATGGCTATTGTTGTTTTGAGAAGAAGTTCATGAACCTCCCCACAGTACTACTGATAAAGCAATTTATGTGACATGGCTTTTATATGCCATTATTCAGTTTAAGGAGTAACAGAATGCATGGTTTCACCCTAATGTTTCTGGCTTTGTGGTTTGGCAAACCAGCACCTGTGGATTGTTACACGAACTAAACAAGTTCCAGAAGTTTGAGATTAATGACAGATCGAAAGATATCACATTGGTTACAGATTGGAGAAAACAATGAAGAGTGCCAACTAACCAATTGTATGCACGTGGTCCCCCCAACTAACCAATCAGATGGCTTATGATTTCCAGAGCAGGCAGTAGCTGAGAGCGTTCAAAAGGCTCTGCTGTGTTTGATTCGGCAAATGCTCTATCACAATCGGTGCAAACTTAGCTGAATGCTACCACCCCACTTGATTGAAAAGGACGTCTGCACTTGACTTCAACTGTGTAAACCTTGGAGCTTTGGATGGAGAAGATGTGGACCCTTGATGTGCATTTGTTGTAAATGCTTTGGATTGAAGCAGAGCAATGCACCATACCATGCTGCCATGTGATCCGAGTGGCCAGAGGTGAAGTTTAACTACCGGCACCATGGGTCGCAGTTGCAAGTTTGGTTGGGTTGTAATGAAATGGACTCTCACAGGTTAAACCTGGGAGCCTTCTGTTACTGGGAACATCTGGTGTCAAAGTCACTTTTTGACCTTTCTCTGAGAAGTAACCATTGCTTTGTATTTTGGGGTGCATCTTTAGACACTCATGAACCATGGGCTATCATCTTTGCTTCGAGTGTTGAACATACCATCAACTCAAGAAAGTACCGTTAGATCACATGTGAGATGATACTTTTATAGTACTACATGCAATTCTGCTTCTTTAGAAATTAGAATGTCTTAGGAACAAAAGTAATTGACACAAGGTGCTTTACTCTGTCTTTTCTTTTCATTTTTCTTTTGGAGGGGTATTTTCTTTCTGTTTGCTCCTGTCTGTTTCTCAAGAATCGTGAAAATGCAGTCAGGTGCAATGCAACAGGGCAAGTGCAGACAACGGCAGGTGATAAACAAAGAGCTGCCAATGCAAGCTCCTGATTGCTTACAGATTACACTCCACGTAAACAAAAATATCATATGGTAGTGTGCGATCGCAACTTGGTGGGGTTGCCGCTGCTCGTAGGGTCCACTTGCTAAATCCAAGTACTCCGGGCCCACCTGTCACTACCATCCACCAGCCATCTTGGCCCCGCAGGCCGCAAGCTGCTACAAAAGTTGTCCGGTAGTTCTGGACACTGACACACGAGCCCCACGAAACACTGGCCCAACTGCCATTCACGTGCATGGCAGCAAGGGATCCTCCGGCCAACGCCACATCCTACGGCTAGGGTTTAACCTCCGAGCCCGCTCAGCGGATCCGGGCCGTCCTTTGTCCCCGGCGGCGGAGCTCACTAGTACGAGGCCCAGCGCGGCGGTGCCTGCCCCCAACGCCCACTGCGCCGCGGGCCCCGCCACGATGTACACCTAATATGCCACCTCCCCCACCGCACCTCCCTCACCCGGCCAGCCCTCTTCAATCTCGCCGGCCACCTCACCTCGCGTGGCCGGCCTCCCGTCCCTCGGACTCAACGACTAGCTGAGCGCCCGTGGTCGCTGCCGCGGCTCCGGTCGGGCGAGGGAAGGAGGAGGTTCATGAGGCTGCTGTAGGCTCCGTTGCAGCCGCCGCGGGCGGGAGTCCGTGATTTTGGACGCCCCACCGCGGCGAGATCCGCGAGCGCGTTGGCTGTTGCGCCGTGAGTTTCGGTTTCGTTGGCGGGTTGCTTCAGCTTGCTGAGAAGTAGGAGGAGGGGCGACCATGGCGGGGTCGAGGTTCGGGTCGTTCAAGTCGGAGAAAGGCGACTCCGCCTCCGCGGCGGCGGGGGCGGCGGGTGGAGCGGCGCAGAGGAGGGACCCGTACGAGGTGCTCGGGGTGGGCCGCACCGCCACCGACCAGGAGATCAAGAGTGCGTTCCGACGCATGGCGCTCAAGTAAGGCCGCCACCTCTCCGCTCAGATTCAATCTCCTCCGCACCTGTGCTGCTTTTGTTGTTGTTTTCCTCGCCCCGTGTGGATTTTTTGGGAAGTATCGTTCAAATTTTGTGCCAAAACAGGCACAGTTTTGGCGAATTCTGTCTCATATGTTGCGTGTGCACTTTTTAGTGAGGTTTCCAGTTATGTTTGAGCACTTTTGGTTTCCCCTTCCTCTTTGTGACTTGCGAGCCATTTTTGTCTGAACATTGATGGGGCTGCATAGCAGTAGCCTGGTTTAGGATATCACTCATTTCGGTGTTTCCTTCTGGTGAATTGCGGCAGGTACCATCCGGACAAGAGTGGTGATGACCCTATTGCATCAGACAAGTTCCAGGAAGTCACATTCTCCTACAACATCCTGTCAGATCCAGATAAGAGGCGGCAGTACGATACATCAGGATTTGATGTAATTGGCACAGATAATTGGTGTGTTATGGTCCTTACTTTAATATTTTGTGACACTTGCATTTTATTCAGGCAATCGAATCCGATAGTCAGGAATTGGAGCTGGACCTATCGAGTCTCAATACTGTAAACACGGTGTTTGCAGCTCTTTTTAGGTAAAGTTTGTAAATGATGCAATATTTCTTCAATTCTTTGCTAGTTTGCATTGTGCTGTTGTGTGATGCTTTTTGTGCATGTACAATACATGCAGTAAGCTTGGTGTGCCAATTAAAACAACTGTTTCAGCAACAGTTTTGGAGGAGGCATTGAATGGGTCGGTTATGGTTTCTCAACTCCAGCTAGGAAACTCAGTGCAGAGAAAGGTTGGCAGCAGCTGTCCGCAATGTTCCTTTTTCCTTTTTAATACTCCCTCCGGTTCTCTAAAGCAAGTCGTTTTGGACATTGACACGGTCTTTAAGAAACGACTTTGACTGCAACTTTTTGCTATAAAATATTTATAAAATATAGTCAATATATACTTTTATGAAACTACATTTCGAGATGAATCTACTTATATCACTTTCATATTTTCAAACTCAACCCAAAAGAAGTTATTTATAGTCAAAGTTTAAAATGTTTGACTTAAGACAACCTCAAAACGACTTGTTTTAGAGAATCGGAGGGAGTAAGTAAATGCTTAATTGTCACATGTGGCCAGGTGGAAAAGCAATCGGCCCATTTCTATTCTGTGGACATAACTGAAAAACAAGCTAAAATGGGGCTAGTTTGTCGTGTTCACTCAAACGATAAGAGCAAATTCAAGGTTTGTAACCTTTTTTTTCATTTATCTGCACTATTTAAGTACACTTCATGTGGTTCTGGTGTTCTAGTATTCTTTATCTACCTTTTCTAGTATTTATCTTTATTATTAATTCTGTACATTGTCATTTTTTTGTCTTCTGTTTGGTTAAATTTGAATGTTTCACATTTGTGAATTGTAATACTAACAGACTAGCTTCCGGTCCCACACAGATTCCAGCTACATACTACATTTGGATGTTTATGTCTAAAATGGAGTTGTATATATCATCAAATACAACTTATTTTTTTTTTTTGAGGGGTCAACAACTTATTCTACATTCAAAATAAAAGGCATCTTAATTTCTTGTAGCAAGTGGTTAAAATGGTTTGGATTTTTCATGGTTTCAAAGGTGACCAGGCGTCCAGCCGTGCAGGCGAGTCCGCTTAGACGCCTAGGCAACGCCTTTGAAACAGGGGGGTTTTAAATGGCATGCTGGGATAGAGAGGCTGGGTTGGATGTTCTGGTTTACCCTGTAAAACCATATTTAAAATGAAATGCATGGCTTGCATTGGATTATGTTTGGAATCTATATCTACATAGATAACAATCTATGTGTCTCAGCAGATCTCAATGGTACTAATATAGTAGGGGAACAAGAAACATTGGGAAGTTATTTCATTAATTGAGAGAATCTGAACCTTCTAGTTATTTAACTAATACAACCAGATTGCCAATCAAAAGTAGTGGCATTAGGGTTTTATAGCTAATGCAACTGTATTTCCAAATCTATCCGCATGACTTTGCGGGCTATTTGGTTGTTTTCAGTTAACTTTATGCTAGTTTTCAAGATTTAGCTCCTTAGCAAGCTTTCTGGTAGTTGTCAGCAACTTGTACTGGTTTGTAACTTTGTATAAAGTCAGCATTTTCCTAGGCAATTGAATTTTCTTTCACAAAAGTGCAATGATTACAAGTCGTCCGATTAATCGCGATTAATCGTCCTAATCGTTCCCTGGTGAATGATTAGGGGTACCGTCGACTTATACAAGTCGCCCGATTTTCGTCCTAGTCGGTCCCATGGCGACTAGGTTCGACTAAACGACTTGTAAACATTGCAAAAGTGTGAGCGTAGCTAATGGTACCATGAGTGAACTTGAGAAAGTTCCCATGTTATTCTCCTATATCATAGTTTTATGATTCTACTTTTATTATTTACAAACATATTTTCTTTAAGCCGAGTTTCTTTTATATAATATGATGTAACTGCTCATAAATTTACGGCTTGTCTTGGACATCAAAGTTATCGATATTAAAATTCAGCTACTGTACTTGAGTCTTTTATGACAAATCTACTGATATTATTTCTATGACAATTCTAAATACTCCATGTATGCAAGTGGTTAAAGCATTAAAGGTTTGACTGTACTAATACAATCATACTAAAGCAACTATTTCAAATGGATGCATTATTGAACACACATATGATTTGTTCCCTCAATTCTTTTTTCCCTTGTCCCTATGTTTCATAGATTTTCTTCTTTCAATTTCAGTTGCTTTATTTTGAGCTTGAAGAAAATGGTGGGCTTAGTCTTGCACTACAGGTATGTGCACTGGGTTCTTCTTTTCTTTTGTTTCTAACATGTTACTAGCAGAAAATTAAAAAAATATGTTAGTACCTTATTTTTGCAGCTGTAGGAATCGAATCATACTTAATTTCTTTTAATAATACACTGAGAAATATAACACCACTATTTATACATACTCTGAGTAAAATGAGTTTGTGATGACAACCGATTTGAGGACCGACAGCTAGGCATTGAGGATCCAACAACCGATGCTTATCGTGCCCCAAACGCAGCGATACCAAGTTTGGGCGACATGCACCAGACAGCTGTCATATGCATTCCCAGCCACCACCATCGTGGGCTCGTGGCCTCCCTCATCCCTCTGGCCAAAATCCATTGCCAAAGACCTTGACACCGCCCCCTCTGTGCCCATGGTGATCAAAATTTTTATGGGATTTGCGCTTGATTAGGAAGGGGGAGGAGAGGAATTTAGGATTCAAGGCTTTGTGCACAGGGAGGTTGCGACTTGCGAGAGAGTTCTGTTGGATGAGAGTCTGGCTGAGGAAATATGAAGAAGAATGTAGATAAAGGGTACTGACACTATTGTCTTTGCATGTCAAAGATTTCCTTTTTATTTTCGAAATTATTATTTTTACTTAATTTGACGGGATGACAGAGCAGTGGTGAAAAGGAAGGGTTAAGGTTGGTGTCCATGGCAATTTTGCAATTCATGCTTCTATAATGGCAATTTCGAGTTCAAGGCATGAAATTGTGTCAGATATGCAATTTGCCCAATATGTTTCCACAGTGATGATCTGTCATTCAAAACATGAGCAAATATTTTTTTAAGATCATGTTGTGCCTTGAGTATGGATTCATCTAGTGTGTGATCTATTGCAGGAAGACAGTGTGAAGGTTGGGAAAGTTACTGCTGCAGGGATGTATTTCCTTGGTTTTCCTGTGTACCGTTTTGAACAAAATAACCTGGTGAGTTCTTTAACTACATTATTCTTTTGTTGTCCAAATTATTCTTTTCTGGACCTACCCCTTTATAAGCTCTAACTACATTCAGGCAGCTGCTGCAAAGGATTCTGATGGTGCATTCTTTAAAAGATTGGATAGCTTTCAGCCATGTGACATACATGAACTGAAACCTGGAACCCACTTCTTTGCTGTCTATGGTATATTGCTTTTGTATTGTTGCAAAGTTAGTTAATTAAGGCAGGATGGAACTTCTTAAACCCTATTACCTTCCGTCAGGTGACAATTTCTTTAAGAGCGCAAGTTATACTATAGAGGTTGTATGTGGTGAATCTTTTCCTTCCGAAAAGGAGATGCTACGAAATGTGGAGGCAAAGATACTCACAAAACGAGCTGAACTTTCCAAATTTGAGTCAGAGTATAGGGAGGTATGTTCTTAAGTTGTCTTCTACTCCTCCGTTCCAAATTATAAGACATTTTGGCTTTTCTAGATTCATAACTTTTGCTGTGCATCTAGATATATGATATGTCTAGATACATAAAAAATGCTATGAATCTAGAATGCCAAAACATCTTATATTTTGGGACAGAGGAAGTATTGTTTTACCCCCATCAGGTTCTTTCTTTGTATTTGCGGTGATGAAGGAAATCATTCTCAAACACTGGGATTTTCAGGTTTTGGCAAAGTTCACTGAAATGACCAGCAAATACACACAAGAAATGCAAGCGGTATTATCTATTTTTCTAGTGTAGTTATTTTTTCACTTTCTTGGGACTATAAGGCTTTGTTTTTGTTATGCTGGCAGTAATCATTTTCCACTTCCAACAACATTCCAACTCCTTATGGCCCTTTTTAGATTGATGATCTTCTGAAGGAAAGGAATGAGATCCATGCTTCCTATACCAACAATCCACCTCTAAAACGGAGTTCCAGCAGGAATAAAGGCAAGTCACCTTCGAAAGTGGCCAAAACCGATACAGAAAAACATCCTCGGAAGGAAAAGAAAGTGAAGGATCACTGCATGGAGGGATATGGAAGTGACAGTGATAACTCAAGTGAAAAGAAATCAAAAGAGCGGTTCCCAAGGAAGAAATGGTTGAACATTCCATTCAAACTTGACAGGAGAAAGACATGCTGAGCAATGTATTATATGTTCCGCTGCTATTCTATTTTTTATGCATAATCCTCAGCTGAACTCACCTTTCTTCTCTTTTTGATGTTTTTATAGGAAGTCCCTCTCGGCCCAACACTAGATTGATATACAGAGCATTTTCACTGTGGCCTCCCAAACCAAGCCCTCTCCCACTGTTACCAATTTTCTTCGTTGTACCCGAATTATTTCATGTAAAGATCACATGTGAGCATAAGAATTGAAACGTGCGTCGTTTTAGCTTATATTTTGTGAAGCCTGTGCTGGCAAGTGGCCGTTCTTGGCATTGGATCAAATCGGGGTGCCCTGCTTCCGATTCCCTGGTGCATGGGCATGAGATCTAGAGGATATATCTGATGCCTATGTATGGCATGTAAATTTGTATATGCTGCAAATCGTAGTACAGTTATATATTTGTGTTCTAAGAATCTTGAGTTACTGCTTCTGTAAATATTCCTCTACTGATGTAAATACAAAATTCCATTTCCCTGCACTAGGATCCGTGTGCTAAATTCTAAGAATCTCTTGAGTTTTTTTTCACTGGCTTCTGTAAATTCTTTCTTTTCTTTTTTTTACTGTTGCACGGTAGCTGGTGCTATGTAGCTAAGCTGTGTGGAAACTCGATTGATGCATATGACAGAACCGTCTAATTTATACAATAGTTGTTTCCGAACCGTCCAATTTATACAAGATCGAGTATGGTTGTTTCCGTTTAACACGTTGACGTGCACATATTTTCTTTTATATAAATTTGGTAGTCCGTCGAGTGTTACGAAGAATCGGTAAATCAACATCATAATTAAGATCGCACGATTAAGCAAATACACATCATATACACAGAGTTGCAGCGGAAATAATGTTTACAATGAGTTCACAAATAATAATACAAGTTTGGGTTTCAAAACCGATTAGTAAAAACAACATAGCTTTCAACTGATTACAATAATATAAGTTCCAAATACATTGCTAGCATATGTGACATCCTCTAACGAAAGCATATAGATAAGAACACTATATAGAGTCGATGAGCCCACCGGCGGTTAGCACCATCTTCAGCAGGCCGAGAACTTCACCTGCAACATGGTGGGATAAACCCTGAGTACTCGAATGTACTCAGCTAGACTTACCCGTCATAAACCAAAAATAAAGTGACACCAAGGATAATGCAAGACTTTATAAGTAGAGCTAGCTTGACAACATTTTACATAAAAAAGCCAATAATTCAGCTATACATTTTATAATTCGATCGTCAAGTTAATTATAGCTATTCATTTTTAGATTAGCAACTAACCTGTGCCAAACGTGGTATATCATTTAGTACCATAACAATAGTAACCATAGCTGGTGTAGGATTTTCATATTCATCAGAACCATCATATTCCATAATCCAATTACTACGATGAAGAAGCTCCGTTAAGTTTCTCACTATCCGGGAAAGACGGCGATTCGAATCGATTGCAACCAGCTGGGCAGTATTCCTAACACAAACCCAAGTAGACCAGATCAACGGTCACCTTAGGTCACCTTTGATACAACTCAGGTCCAATTCGCGGGTTCGATCAGCACCGCACAACCAGGGACAACCAGTTGCTAGGACGTTCAGGCCCGGCCTGCCCTTGGGCTCACGTCTGGCTCTCCGCACATCCTTACTACCATCCAGAGTGCGCACTCTAACAGAACGAGGCCCGGCCTGAGTTGAGCTACTCGACTTCACGGTCGGAACGAGTTATCCGGCTAGCTAAGTGAGAGGCACGCGTTCAAAATGACAAGAGGGCCTGCAACAATGCGGTCCTTAATCGGCACAAACAGAATCACATGAGTCAACCTACACATAGACTCCGCCCGGTCTCTAATTACATTACCCCTGGTTCTGTTCCACGATAGCAAATATAGTCAACCGTGCTCTGGTATCCACCTATATCTCGCAAGTGACATGAAATCACCCGACTTCAACTGGTCTAAGCATTGCTAAGCATATATTCGATCCTAAACCTATACAGAGTTAAAGGTATATATATCTGGACAAGGTAGTTCTATGCATCAAGTGTTTCCAATCAACTCTTATAACCTAATGCATCAAATATAAAGGACTCAAGTGATATTTATAAAAACATAGGAGGCTTAGAATGCTCCAGGACTTGCCTGGGATCCAACACTAGGTCAGTGTTTGTTAGATGACACTCGTTTGGCGAGCATCTTCCATCTCGGCACTTGCTTCGTCCTTCCGTCTTCTGGATGGATTCACCAAACTCCATCTTCGGGTTCGGCTCCAACATCACGTCCTTCACGTGGTGCATCTAGCGTACTTAGATGAGATACAACAATGCAAGTGCATGAATACGAAGAATGGCAATATAAGATACCTCACATAAAAGTATTCAAGATGAGCACAAGGTTACACCAAACATATATAAGCACCACACGTTACTTAATTAAACATCCCACAACCTATCATGCTAGAATAGCAAGGAAGGTAGCACCAAGCATGACAAAAGTTTCACAAGGTTTTAGGTATATTAACTTAACACCATCAAAAGCATGAGCCACACTTAGCAACACGTAAAGCAAAGCAAGATGAAGCAAACAATTTTAGGTACAAACACAGATTCTGAACAGCAGCACCACAGTCACTTGTTTTAATCATACCCAGAGTTCTAGGCATGCAAAAAGTGTGATTCAAGACTTTCTAGAAATCTAATAAAATTATATAAAACTTTGTTATTAACACCAAAAGTTGATTAAACAAATAACAAGTTCAAAATACACCATGAAGCAGAGCTTATACAACTAAGGACAGAAACCCGATATTAAATTCAGAAATGCATATCTCAAGTTATATTCATCTAATAAACATGATTCTTAACTTTATAGAAATATTATTAAGTTATCTATAACTTTATTATTATTATATTAAGATAATTCTACAGCTAACAAGGTTAAACAACACCAAGAAGGCATCTCTGTCCAGATTTAGATAGAATCTGTCATTCCACTTTAAACAGCAATAACTAGACTTCTAGACCACCAAAAGCAGTGATCTTAGATATTTTAGAAAGCTTAGGAAAATCACTAGAACTCTTCTATTATCATCAATCCATGATTACATGTTTAAATAAGCCAAAAAGTACAATCATTCAGATCTGTTCAGCGCACATGCAAAAGCTGACAATAAATTTGTAAAATCTATAACTCCTAAACCAACAGGCCTCAAATCATAAAATTTTAGGATAAGAAAGATAAGGAAATTATCTACAACTTTTGTATTCAACATATCTACATAAAACATCATTTGTATCACGAAAATATCACCACCACAAAAACTATACATGCAGCCATAACAGCAAAAATACAACTATATGCATTTACCATTTATGTTATTAACAACTAACATTTTGTTGCTACATATGCAGCTCCATACAACTCCTAACTATAATCAAGCAATCAAATTACCTAGCACAAATTATTAGAAGTATTATTTGGCATAAAAACAAGCATCTACTAACAAACTTTCATTAGCTTTTCTATATATAAAAACCTATATATTAATTATAGGTGATGCTGCCAACATCTTATTTGTATCTCAAATTTTTATTAGAGATAGATTATGACAAAACATTATTACTGTACAAATCTTACATACTCAGGTTTTATAGATTAATAATTATAAAAAAGACAATTTGCTATTGCAAGAAAACATGTGAGAGCAAGATAAATCTAAAACATACTATTTTTCTGCAAACACATGGCCATATTATATATTATTATGGAAGCACAACATCATACAAAGGTAGAGGAACAACATTTTCTATTTTTACACCTTCATAAAAATTATAACTTATTTAAAACCATTTATCAAGCACTAAAGAAGTTAAATCAATAACTCAGTCATACTGCATCCACTGAACCTGAAATTTTTACCACAGCACATATAGCATCAGTAGCCTACCACAAAATTTTCACCTCATTTGGAGCATCACAACTTTAGATATGAATTTATTTCTAGAAAACCCTAATTAACATAGATAAATTAAAATAGCAAAATTATTAGAACATTTTTGGGCCAGTTATGGGCCTAATTGGACCTTGGGACCAAAAGCAAAGTTGAAGCCCACGAACTGCTCTACAACTTTCATTAAGGACGCCGAGTCATTAGAGATATGGATTAACAGGTAATTAAGTTCCAATACAACAGTGTTAGAGGGTTAACAAGCTTCAGCTTGGGCTTCAATTCCTTGGTCAAGACTTGGTCAAACTTAATCCAACTTCTTCTTAGGCCTTCTCCATAGAATTTTCTCCAACTTTTATATTTGGCTCAACTTGAGTTGCTTAACAAAAATCCGAGAACGCGAAATGCCAACCATCATCAACATTGTAATCTCGGACTTAGCCAAAATTTCGAGATCCCAAAACAGAACTGGATTCGATCTTGGGGTCCCTAATTGGCTAGGTTAGAAGCTAAACAAGGTCTTGGTACTTAAACAAAAGTTGTTCTACTTAATGTAATCTACAACTTTGCTTAAAGGATCTAGAATTGGTTAAGCTCGGTTTGCAAGATACAAACCTCCAAAGATGAGTACCCGAAACTGAGTTCAGACTTGGAACATTCAGGCATTGGCAAAGGAATTCAGTGCCATTAGCTATTTTTGAAACTACCTTTGAATGTCTAAACGTGCTCCAAAAGTTATGAGACTTGTTTTGTTGTTTCCTCCACACAATGTACTCCAACTCATATTAAGGAATTAAATTGAGCTGCCATATGAATTTGGAAGATAAAAATGTCACAACATGTCAACTCGCTGTTGCCGATCAAGGACTTAGAAAGATTTCTGAGAAGCCAAAACAACTCTGTATTCAAAATTGAGACCACTTTATGAGACACTTAGAAATTGAATTAGGTCTTGGTCCAAAAATAAAGTTTGTAGCACACCACTTAAACTTGAACTTTTATTTAAGGTCAAACTTCATAACTTGTTTCCACACTGTTATTT